CAACGAAGGTTTTTGCGATTGTGCCCGTGCATTTTAACTTTTTTTTAACCTGACCGCAAGAAAATGTAACCTCACCCTCAAGTAAATTTCGACCGGTCGCACCCTCAAGATCGAATGAATCCTGTCCATGTGCCTTGCAGTTTTGCTCAACGCGGACATCGCACGACGGTTTTGCCAAAACCTCTGTGGGCATGAGGCCAAGTGGCGAGTAGCGGTGGTTTTATTTATCATTATTTTCGGTCGTGCTCCCGGAGATCTGCAAAACCCGAGTCGGCGGCGCGCTGGGCAGTAACTAGGCAGGAAGGTCGCCCTCTTCCTTCAGGACATAAAACGACTTACCGTGCGTCGTGAAACGTGACCGACAATCACACGAGATGTAGCGGTTGGTTTTTTATTTTTATTATTTGCGTTGCTAGTGTCCTTCGCTGGTATAGCGGCCTAATTAATTTAACATCCTTTTCAAGCGCGGGCGGTGGGGGGGGGAGACAGCCATTCACAGCGGTTATACTCGGCCACGAATGTCAAATATTATAACGTACCGCGTGTGCCTGTGTTAAGGTTTTTTGGTTTCGCGAACGATGTATTGCCGTTCTCCCCTGACGGATTCGGAAGCATTTACAATTGCTCATGTGACCTGAACGTTTGCGAAGTTTGGCAGGTTTCGTGAGCGGATTCGTGGCTATGGCGGGTCGGTTTATTTATTTCGACTGGAATTTAAACAGCGCATTACTTGCCAAAACAAAATGTGTTTATGAATGGCATTCACAAGTTGTGCGAGCCAGACACGATCAAGCTCCGAGTCTCCACATTGGATGTATCGATAAAAATGTGATATTTATTCGAATGTTATTAAGTTTTTAAATTTGAAAACATACATACCTGTCAACCTCTTATCAGTACCTACCTTATTACAGACCAATTCAGACCTTATTGGTCACCCCGTGCCCCTTAAAAATCTCAACGTTCATCCTACAAAGCCCGTATTGAAATGGCTGTACGCTGTATGGACCTGAAAACTCTATTTTCCCTATACAAGAATACGGGGTAAACCTTTTGGTTCTAGATGTGAAGCTTTCGTGACTGCAAGGATTCATATTCTTAGGTTTTTTCGGTAAAGTCACGTAGGTAAAAATTTAAAATAAAAAACCGTCACAGCACGATAGCTGTATCACTTGATACAGCTATCGTGCTGTGACGGTTCCACCTGAAGACGGAAGCTTGTGTTGCATCCGAAACGTCGTGATTTTTATTTTATTTTACTTTTATTAATTTGAATTTTTTACCTACGTGACTTTTACCGAAAAAACCTAAGAATATATAAAACCTTTTGGGTTGACGAGTATGAACATGTTAAATAGAAAGATATCCGTCTTCTACATTGACAATCATAAAAAATATGTATTTAGACACGTGGCAAATAAGATGTAGGAGAGCGATATTGTTTTTTTTTTTAATCGGCAATTCTCTGAGTTTGGGAAACTTCGTCAACATTTATGCCCTGCCCCGACGTGTCTCTCGATCCGGCAGCAGAATGTCAAGTGACATGTACCGGCACCAAGGCCACGTGCTCATTTGCGTCGCCCGTCCAAACAACAACAACTTTCGATTTAAAGCTTTCGTGCCTGCAGGGATTCATCTTCTTGGTTCTTTCGTTAAAGTCACGTAGAAGAGAAATAATAAAATAATAAAAATAAACATAATAAAATAATTCTCATGACGTTTCGGCCACAACGCAAGCAGCCGTCCCTCAGGTGAAGAACAGGTCTGTCGGAAAGACAGCGTCTGAATGAAGGAATTCAATCGTTTTGTCTGTTTTTAACATATATAAAACAACATTAATATATATTCGTAAATAGTTATTTCGCGATCTGGATAGAGAGCGGTGTGTGTGGTCAAACAAAACCGCTCAGCTCAACAAAGCTAACAATTTCTCCATGGGGAGCACAGTCAGTCAGTGTTAGTCGCTCGTCGGCTAGGGAGGGGGGGGGGGGTCCTCGGGACTTTGTTCTGAGTTGGCAAAGTTTCGAGTTCGCCGAGTGGCCGAGGCGAGCCTTGCCGTGGGGACGGGCACCGTGCAATCGTGGCCGAGGCGTCGGGCAAGACAACCATCGCCTCCGAAGAGGGGGGAGAGAGCGAGAGGGAGAGAGAGAGAGGGAGGAGAGCAGAGCGTGAAATCTTTTGTGAAATCTTTCATTTAAAAAGTGTGGGAGGCATAAAGCAAAGCATTGAAAAAAAAACAAAAAAAAACTAAATGATGAACGAAGCAAAGTGCCGATTACACCGAGTATCTTCTTGTTTCCTCTGAACGTAAAACAAAGTGGGAGAGAGAGGGGGAGAGAGGGAGAGGATTTTGACGTTTTATTACCGTCGAAATCCTCACGCCAACTTTGACCGCCGCGTGGGAAATAACGCCACGGGTCACCGGCCAAGTCACCAACAGCTCGGCGGTCATCGTATTACCACCACCACCAGCAGCACCAGCACCACCACCAGCACCACCACCAGCAGCACCAGCACCAACACCAGCACCACCACCAGCACCACCAGCAGCACCACCACCAGCACCACCATCAGCAGCACCACCAGCAGCACCACCATCAACACCACTTACAAACACCAGCACCACCACCAGCACCACCATCAGCACCTCCGAGGGCACCTCCGAGGGCAGCTCAATGGGGAACGAGAACGGCTCCGCGGTGGACGACCTCCACTCGGTGGAGATCCACTTGTGGTACAAGAAGTTCATGCGAGAGTGCCCCTCGGGCCAGCTGACGCTGCACGAGTTCAAGCAGTTCTTCGGCATCAGCAGCGTCACGGCGGAGGGCAACGCTACATCGAGCAGATGTTCAGGACCTTCGACATGAACAAGGTGGGAGGGGGGGGCGAGAGGGGGGTGGAGGGGGAGATGGGGGGATGGGGATGATGGAGGGGGGAGGGGGAAAAGTGGAGGGGGCGTGAAGGGGTGGGGGGTGGAGGAGGGGAGATGGGGGGTGGAGAGGGAGTAGAGGGGTTGATGGGGGGAGGCGAGTGGGGGGTGGAGGGGGAGTGGTGGAGGGGAGATGGGGGGGATGGGGGTGGTGGTGGAGGGGGCGATGGAGGGGAGATGGGGGGGTGGAGGGGGGGGAGGGGGTGGAGGGGGGCTGGTGGGGGAGTAGGTGGAGGGGGAAATGGGATGATGGAGGGGGAGAAGTGGAGGGGGCGATGGGGGGTGAAGGGGTGGGGGGGTGGGGGATGAGGTGGAGGGGAGGGGGGGGACGCTACGGGGTGGTTCTCGCCATTCGCAATGCGGTGACCGGTCACGTGACGATCGTGGGGGGCAGCCAAGTGGGGGGGGGGGGGGGAGCTGCCTTGCCCCCCCACCCCTCCCCTCCCCCGGTGGCCAAAGCTACGAGTTGGGAGGGGAGGAGGGGGCCTTGACAACCAACATCAGATATCATTAATCAGAATATTTATTTAAACTGCGGGAGGAATCCGATGAGCTACAAAGCTCTTTTATGCACAGATGTCCAGTAAGGGGCACGGGCTAAGAACGTTACAACAACAACAATGACAAAACAAGTATAACCGTAAAAAACAACGTTTTTCACTATAAATCCTTTATATGCGTGGCGGCTAGAGTCCTCTCATCCTCTGGCTTGAGATGGCTGCCACCTATGGGTCAGATGATTGTCTGCAGTATAAGCAATTGGTAATTAAATATAATATTTTTGTCCTAAAAAGTATAAAATTTTGGAATTTTTTTCACGACCATTAATTGTCACGCACAACGAGTCTGTGTGGAAAATGTCAGCTCGATTGGATCACGGAAAGTGGGTTAAAAAACGACCGAAAGATTTGCACGGTCCTAAGCAAGCAAGTGAACTTAATATAAAGGATTTTAAAAAACACGATAGGTGTACAAAGTACAAGACGGATAAACAAATCACCCAGACACAGACACAAATACTACATATTCTTAGCTTTTTTCGGTAAAGTCACGTAGGTAAAAAATTTCAATTTAATAAAAGTAAAATAAAAATAAAATAAAAATCACGACGTTTGGGAGGCAACACAAGCTTCCGTCTTCAGGTGGAACCGTCACAGCACGATAGCTGTATCACTTTTATTAATTTAAAATTTTTACCTACGTGACTTTACCGAAAAAACCTAAGAATATGAATCCTTGCAGTCACGAAAGCTTCAAATCTACAAATACAACACTCAACCATGCCCCATCCTACCAGGCAAAGCCCCACTGAGGCTGTGAACTTGTTTTTTAGAAGCGACCTGGCGACCACAAATGATAGCCGCTCAACAAAGTGGCCCCGTCATTCGGACACTTTATAGCAGCAAAATCATCTACAGCGTAAAAAGAACAACTTTCTTAGAACGCCGTTTAAATAAAGTAAAAAAAAATATTAAAATTTTTAAATTATTTCATTGACCTTAATTTGAAGCTTTCGTGACTGCAGGAATCCATACTCTTTGGTTCTTTCGGTAAAGTCACGTAGGTAGAAAAATAAAATAAATCACGACGTCACTCAGGAAATGAGCCTTGACCTCGGAGGACTTAGAAGAAGGCGATTTGAAGATCTCAGGGACCTCGTTGGAGTGTAAACATGGATCCATTCCTGCAAATATTGTGGGGTTAACCCACTGAGATTTGGTCAGCAGCAGGGTCTTTTCATCCACTTGATACTTGACTGGTAGCCAGTGTAAACACAAGAAAGCAGGTGTGTGATGTGCTCGCGTAATGGTGTGTGCGTACGGACTCTAGCAGCAGCATTCTGAAGAAGCTGTCGTCTACCCAGAACCTTACTTGGAATCCTGAACACGAATACATGCATCAATTCAGTGAAATGTTACAATTTTACCTTGATATTCGATATTATTTCATATTTTGGTAAATATAATGCCTCTAGTGACTGCACAGATCACATGAAACCATTCTAAAACATACAATAATGATCGCACAAATGATGTTGTACATATACCATTAGCGTTAGAATTCGTTTCATTCTATTCAATACATCGTTACTTGCTCAGGGAATGCAGCCGAACAGTTAAATGTCATATAATCACGGTGTTTCTTGTAGAAAAGCCGCACAGACCCATTCTGCTTGAAGGAAGTGCTGGAGGAGTTGCCACTGCGCGCTCTGAAGGATGCACTTGAGAGTATCGGCAAGATACTCACTGAGAGCCTGCTGCGTTGCCCCGCTGAGCAATGGAACCCTGACCCACCGCAACACGACGACATGGAGACAGAAGCCACGGGATCGGTACTATACATCTAAATTCTGTCCTTTTACTCTTTCATGGTACATTTTAACGTGATTCATCGAATGCCTATCAACCAAATATCTCAGTATGATTGTAAACAGAAAATTACACCCATTGGTGGTCTGGCTGAGATCATTAAGGCTTCTTATACTTGCAAGCCTTATTTTATCTTGGACCTGAACCAAGAATCTCAGCTTTGCTGGCTCATTGTTTTGTCAATTTTACTGCATCAGCCCATGAGCTACCAGACAATTAAAAATTCTGTATTCGTCTGATTTACCTGTATTAATATACCCAAAACATTTAATTAAATTATAGTTGCTTGTCATATATTCTGAGTACTGTAGATAAAAACACGTTTTAAAGAGTATGAATGATTGTGGTAAGCATGCAAAGACATGAAAAAATTTCAACTGGTTTTATACACGTTCACTAAAAATACTGTGATATATTAACTCTGACAATGGATGGCACTTGTTATTTGATTGTTGATGTTAGGAGTTGTGTGGTTAAAATGTGACACCTGCTCCCATCATTATGTGTTTGCATCCAGGAGTCAACTGTAGCTGTTGTGACGGCTGTAGCCACAGTGCTATCTGTGGCTGTGAAAACTGTCAGTGCGGAGGTGATAGAAGACATTTTGGAGTCGGCTATCATTCTACATGGTAAAGAGGCAGGGTGACGTCTATGAATAATTGATACAAATTGATAAATTATTGACTATATCTGTTTCCACGACTTCTCAGTTTTTTTATAATTGGAAAGAGTAAAAGTTCGTGAGTATGTATAGTAGGAGAACGAGAACAAAAAGTTAATAAGTATCTGCTGAAAATCTCATTCAAGATACATAAAGTAGTTATTTGCCACATTTCTCTGACTTGGATAATTTATAACAGTTCACTGTTTAGAGCTGCATATCCCAATGAACAATATTGCAGTATGTTCATCTCATAAATATCTGCAAAATAAAATACTTCTTGATGTTGCACTGGGAAATGTTATGCATGCGCACTGGATGATATATTGATTTCAAGTACTGTATAGGGTAGATTACCAAAATATTGGCAATAGTTTATTTAATAATTGAGCCTACAAATTATTGTTATGCTGAATATACAGAGTGGCCCATAGGTCAAGACTGAATGGGTTATCTTATTTTAACAATTTTCAAACTGACTTCCATTAACATGAATGTACACATGAATTCTCTGTAGAAGTTATTTTTGGACTTTTTTTAGATTCACGTGTAATCTTTGACCATTCCTAAATTACGTTTTGTCTAAATTCATTCAGGGTTCTTGGTCGAATTTTGTAAACAACGGGATTGTGGTGAACCCACAGGAAGAATACAAATATATATATGAATAATGATAATAGATAAATATTAACTTAAAGAATAAACTGTTTAAATGTTTTAATGCCAGTGCTAAAATAAATGAAATAACCCTATTTGTCCAGACTTTTTTGTCACCCTGTATAAAAAATGCCTTCCAGGTGGTTACATCAGGCAACAATACAAGATATATATGTTCCTGTGGTGATAATTAGTTCCAATCTACTCTACCGTTTTTCTCACCCTGTTGACAGCCCTGTTGCCACTTTTCACCGATGCTCACCCTAACCTAAGAAACACGGTCATAAACCTGTGCGAGTCTTGGTGGGAGAGAGACCTACCTGGGAAAGAGGAGCTTGGAAAGAATATGATCCTCACAATTCTGCGGTGCAATTTAATACAGCAGAGCAAAGCCTTGGTATGTAGCAATGCCTTAAATTGCAATTTATAATTTGTTGTTTTTCATGACAGTGACTTTCATTCTTGTGAATTTTTTTTACTGCAATCAGTGTGTTTCTAAAGATTATTACCTGCGCTGGTTAGGCATTGCCTCACCAACACTTATTTTACCTGGAATAGCACCTTCTACAAACAGAATGAGGGTACCCCTATGGGCTCCCCCTTGTCACCAGTTATAGCCAACATGTTCATGGAAAAGTTTGAATCAGACGCCATCCAGACATCCACCCTGCGTCCTTCCTTGTGGAAGAGGTATGTGGACGACACTTTCGTCATCTGGCCACATGGCCTCCCAGCATTGAACCACTTCTTGGACCACATCAATTCTAGACACCCATCCATCAGATTCACCATGGAAGTGGAGAAAGACGGTAAACTACCATTCTTGGATATTCTGTTTGAGAGGAGGCCTGACGGATCCTTGGGACATTCTGTCTACAGGAAAGCCACCCACACAGATTCCTACTTGAAACCGGATTCCCACCACCACCCATCTCAAAAGAATTCTCTCATCAAAACGCTATACCACAGAGCCCATGGCATTTCTGACCAACACCACCTGGCCGGTGAATTAAGACATGTACATCGGGCCCTCAGGATGAACGGATACTCTGATCGCACTATCCGCCAAGCTGTTTCTCATAATCAACGATTTTTGGGTTTAGATCGCGTTTATTTATAAATGTGTCGTAACCCTCCACCACCCGACATGGCCAATCAGTAAAAAATGTGTCACGTTGACAAAGACAAATAGTTCACTGCTTTAGCCCACCGGTGTGTTGAAGCAACAACATTCACAATTTGAGTACGACGTTTCGCTGGTAATTACAACCAGCATCATCGGGCAATTCGCCAGAATGGTGAGGCTCTCCTGTGTCTCCCGTTCTTATATAGAGCAGCAGCAGGATGACGTCATCATTAACTCATTAACTCATCAGGTGCAAAGATTCAAGGGGGGAGTGATTGTAATTATATACTAGATTAGTAATCAGGCTATTGTTACGATGCGAGTTGTAGATTAGTAATCATTTGGAATGTGTTTTATTGTGATTATGCTACATTAGTAATCAGTTAGTGGTTGTTTCCCTTATAAGTAATTGTAATGTATCTTATTTAATAATACGCTTCCAGGCCGCACTAAGCCTGTAGCTGTCTGAGCGATTAAAGTTATTTCTGTTTCTCTCAATTTCAATCGATTCTCTAATTAGTCTTTGCCAGTAGTAACTAGTTTTACACAACACTTCCACGTTGTCAAAATCAATTGAGTGTCCCTGTTGGCATGCATGTTCTGCTACTGCCGACAGTTGTGTTTGTGATAGTTTAATATTTCTCTGGTGTTCTTTTAGTCTTACACTAACGTTACGCCCTGTCTGTCCAATATAGCATCTGCCACATACACAATTAATCCGATATACACCTTCTGTTGATAATTTAGGTAATTCGTCTTTAGTGCACGTTACTAGTTGTTGAATTTTGTGTACTGTACCAAATCTTACTGTAATGAGAGAGATTAAACATGTTAAATAAGCACTAAGACAGAATGGCTACAATAATGCTCAAATTAACAGAGCACTAAAAGCCAAATCACGATCGCAAAGCAACACTGCTGAAAGCGATCAGATTATTAAAACAATAAAAATACCATTTATCTCAGGAGTAACTGATAAATTAGCCCGTGTTTTGCAAAAGCAAAACATTACAGTAAGATTTGGTACAGTACACAAAATTCAACAACTAGTAACGTGCACTAAAGACGAATTACCTAAATTATCAACAGAAGGTGTATATCGGATTAATTGTGTATGTGGCAGATGCTATATTGGACAGACAGGGCGTAACGTTAGTGTAAGACTAAAAGAACACCAGAGAAATATTAAACTATCACAAACACAACTGTCGGCAGTAGCAGAACATGCATGCCAACAGGGACACTCAATTGATTTTGACAACGTGGAAGTGTTGTGTAAAACTAGTTACTACTGGCAAAGACTAATTAGAGAATCGATTGAAATTGAGAGAAACAGAAATAACTTTAATCGCTCAGACAGCTACAGGCTTAGTGCGGCCTGGAAGCGTATTATTAAATAAGATACATTACAATTACTTATAAGGGAAACAACCACTAACTGATTACTAATGTAGCATAATCACAATAAAACACATTCCAAATGATTACTAATCTACAACTCGCATCGTAACAATAGCCTGATTACTAATCTAGTATATAATTACAATCACTCCCCCCTTGAATCTTTGCACCTGATGAGTTAATGAGTTAATGATGACGTCATCCTGCTGCTGCTCTATATAAGAACGGGAGACACAGGAGAGCCTCACCATTCTGGCGAATTGCCCGATGATGCTGGTTGTAATTACCAGCGAAACGTCGTACTCAAATTGTGAATGTTGTTGCTTCAACACACCGGTGGGCTAAAGCAGTGAACTATTTGTCTTTGTCAACGTGATACATTTTTTACTGATTGGCCGTGTCGGGTGGTGGAGGGTTACGACACATTTATAAATAAACGCGATCTAAACCCAAAAATCGTTGATTATGCTTGTGTGTGTGTCTGCCTGTGTGTGTGTCTGCCTGTGTGTGTGTCTGCTTGTGTGTCTGCCTGTGTGGTGTGTGTGTGCCTGTGTGTGTCTGCTTGTGTGTGTGTCTGCCTGTGTGTGTCTGCTTGTGTGTGTGTCTGTGTAAGTGTGTCTGCGTGTGTGTGTCTGCTTGTGTGTGTCTGCCTGTGTGTGTGTGTGTGTGTGCGTCTGCTTGTGTGTGTGTGTCTGCCTGTGTGTGTGTCTGCCTGTGTGTGTGTCTACCTGTGTGTCTGCCTGTGTGTGCCTGTGTGTGTCTGCTTGTGTGTGTCTGTGTGTGTGTCTGCTTGTGTGTGTCTGTGTGTGTGTCTGCCTGTGTGTCTGCCTGTGTGTGTGTGTCTGCTTGTGTGTGTCTGCGTGTGTGTGTCTGCTTGCGTGTGTGTGTCTGCTTGTGTGTGTGTGTCTGCTTGTATGTGTGTGGTCTGCGTGTGTGTGTCTGCTTGTGTGTGTGTGTCTGTGTGTGTGTGTCTGCCTGTGTGTGTCTGCCTGTGTGTGTCTGCCTGTGTGTGTCTGCTTGCCTGTGTGTGTCTGTGTGAGTGTGTCTGCGTGTGTGTGTCTGCTTGTGTGTCTCTGTGTGTGTGTCTGCCTGTGTGTCTGCTTGTGTGTGTCTGCCTGTGTGTGTCTGCTTGTGTGTGTGTCTGTGTGTGTGTCTGCCTGTGTGTGTCTGCTTGTGTGTGTGTGTCTGCTTGTGTGTGTGTGTCTCTGTGTGTGTCTGTGTGTGCGCCTCTTTGTGTGTGTCTGCCTGTGTGTCTGTGTGTGTCTGCCTGTGTGTGTCTGCTTGTGTGTGTGTCTGCTTGTATGTGCGCCTCTGCTTGTGTGTGTGTCTGCCTGTGTGTGTCTGCTTGTGTGTGTGTCTGCGTGAGTGTGTCTGTGTGTGTGTCTGCCTGTGTGTATCTGCTTGTGTGTGTGTGTCTGCCTGTGTGTGTCTGCTTGTGTGTGTGTCTGTGTGTGTGTGTCTGCCTGTGTGTGTCTGCGTGTGTGTGTCTGCCTGTGTGTGTCTGCTTGTGTGTGTGTCTGTGTGAGTGTGTCTGCCTGTGTGTGTCTGCTTGTGTGTGTGTCTGTGTGAGTGTGTCTGCCTGTGTGTGTCTGCTTGTGTGTGTGTGTGTGCGCCTATGTGTGTGTCTGCTTGTATGTCTGCTTGTGTGTGTATGCTTGTGTGTGTCTGTGTGTGTGTGTCTGCATGTGTGTGCGCCTCTGTGTGTGTCTCTGCGTGTGTGTGTCTGCTTGTGTGTGTGTGTCTGTGTGTGTGTGTCTGCGTGTGTGTCCGTGTGTGTGTCTGCTTGTGTGCAGTCTCGGCTCGGGTCATGATTCCCGTCGGAGCCCTGACCTCCTCCTTCTCATTGGAGGGTCACCCGGACCTCAAGATCCTTCAGCCCTGGTGGGACGTGTTGTGCGACATGCTCTCTGTGCCCATGTTCATGATCGGCATCTTTGCCGGGATGCTGCAGGTGCTTTGTTCCAACGCACCAGTCCCCACGCACATTCATCAATGTCGCCACCTTGCTATGGATAACATCGCTGAGATGTTGACGACCTCGCCTGGTACGCAGGAGGTCATAGGTTCCATCCCTACCCTTCTGCATATTTGGACTTCGCGTGTGTCTCATCATCACGGTGGCCGGGAGATGTTAACTATCTCGCCTGGTACAGAGGGGGTCGTGGCTTCCAACTCGACGTGCGAGCTCACTCATAGCGCTGGCTAGAGAGCACATCTTGGGTCTATATGGGTTATCTCCCCCCGTACACCGGGAATCTCGCAAAGTGAACCTGAGTTAAGGAGACCACACGGCGTCACGTCATGGTCACGTGGTACCCACTTGCCCCACCTCCGCCCAGAACATGAACGAGCGCATTCTGTGCGTGCCGGTGCCGAGAGGCTTCGACGTGGATCTGAAGGAGTGGAACGAGACCGTCCTGAGGACGCTCGTGGCCAACCCCAGGGCTCACACGGTGAGATTCCCCCTCGGGCCGGCTCGGCACCACCGGCAATTGCCCGAGGATAGTGTAATGTATAGTGTAGTGTAGTGTATAGTGTAGTGTATAGTGTAGTGTATAGTGTAGTGTATAGTGTAATGTATAGTGTAGTGTAATTTATAGTGTAGTGTATAGTGTAGTGTATATTGTAATGTACATTATAGTGTAATGTATAGTGTAGTGTATAGTGTAATGTATAGTGTAGTGTATAGTGTAGTGTATAGTGTAATGTACATTATAGTGTAATGTATAGTGTAGTGTATAGTGTATATATTGTAATGTACATTATAGTGTAATGTATAGTGTAGTGTATAGTGTAATGTATAGTGTAATGTATAGTGTAGTGTATAGTGTATAGTGTAGTGTATAGTGTAATGTACATTATAGTGTAATGTATAGTGTAGTGTATAGTGTAGTGTATATTGTAATGTACATTATAGTGTAATGTATAGTGTAGTGTATAGTGTAGTGTATATTGTAATGTACATTATAGTGTAATGTATAGTGTAGTGATAGTGTAGTGTATATTGTAATGTACATTATAGTGTAATGTATAGTGTAGTGTATATTGTAATGTACATTATAGTGTAGTGTATAGTGTAGTGTAGAGTGTAATATCCTAGTACAGCACACCGGTGTGTTGAAGAGCAAAGCCACAACGTTGACGATCTTGAGTACGGTGCTGTTCCGCCAGTACTACAACCGGCATCATCAGGCCAAAGCCACATTTGAGCCAGCTCTGTCACCGCAAGGGAGGGGCATGCGACATCACCGCCACGCCAGTTCATTTTGCCCTTCCCACACTCGCCCAGGTTGGCTTCGACCAGTACCAGTACCGGTTGATCAACTAGTTCTGCTACGACAACGCGGTGCTGTGGATCAGCAAGTACTTCCCGCATCTCGTGGTGCTGCACACACTCATCCTGACGGCACCAGGAACTTCTGGTTCAGGTTCCCGGAGACGAGCTCCAAGATCGAGCACTTTGTGTGCGTGCTGGGTAAGTGCATGGACTCGCAGTGGACCACGCACGCCGTGCACGAAGCCGCACTGGACGGGTTGGCGTCAGCGGCGGCGCTGCAGCCGCCAGCGCCGCCCGCCACAGTGGGAGCTGCAGGTTAGAAGGGGGCTGACTACGAAGAGACGGCCCACGCCTCCTTCCTGCCTTAGTCATCCCTTGCCCCTTAAGTAACAAACTAAAAAGTTCCCCCTTTTGGGGGAGACCCTGCGTGGGTTTGGGGTAGAGGTTGCAAACGGGTTTTGATCCTTACCCGTACCCGTACCCGGCCGCACCAGGGTCGCAAATGGGTACCCGTACCCGGCGGGGACGGGTACCCGTTCCCTACCCGTACCCTACCCGAAATGAGTGACAAACGGTTATCATCAGTGACTCACGGCCTACCCGTACCCGTACCCGGCCGCACCAGGGTCGCAAACGGCTACCCGGCTACCCGTACCCGACCGGGTACGGGTAGCCGGGTATCGGGTAGGGTACGGGTATCGGGTACCCGGTTGCGACCTCTGTTTGGGACAGCGAGCCCGTTCACGCATCTTGCTATCCCTCTGCTTTTCATAACCAGTTTGGCTTACGGTTGGCGGTGTGTGGGGAGCGGTGGTGAAGCGGTTAGCGCTACGCTGCGCTATGAACCCGGCGACCCAGGTTCGATTTCCGCTCACGGCCAACACCAGCGACGATTATCTGAAACACGTTCCTTCGGAGTGGGCAGGTAGTAACTTGGTTGGACAGCGCATTCGTGCACGACAGACAAACAATCCCTGGTGGGCAGTGTGGAACCTGTTTCTACCTGTACCAGTTCTGGGCCTCCTCTAGGTCTTCTCAGCCTCAAATGAGTACCTGGTGCGGTGTGTAAACATCGCCACTGGGGAGACAAAGGCGGCCAGGCGTGGTACTGGCCACCACCCCCCTCGTGTACCGTTCCAGCACTTGCCCCTATAGTCTGTTAAGGCTATACGGGGGATCTTGTTGTGCGTGTGTATGTGCGTCACGATGTGGGTGTCTGAGTCTGTATGGGTCTCTGGGTCTCTGTGGGTCTCTGCGGGTCTGTGGGTCTCTATGGGTCTCTACGGGTCTCTGTGAGTCCTGATGGGTCTCTGCGGGTCTCTATGAGTCACTATGGGTCTCTGTGGGTCTTCGTGGATCTCTGTGGGTCTGTGGGTCTCAGAATGTCAATGGGTCTCTGCAGGTCTCTGTGAGTCTCTATGGGTTTCTGTGAGTCTCTAAGGGTTTCTGTGAGACTCTTATGTATCTTTGTGGTTCTCTGTAGGTGTCTACGGGTCTCTACGGTTCTCTGTGAGTCTCTGTGAGTCTCTATGGGTCTCTGTGTGTCTCTATGGGTCTCTATGGGGTCTATGTGGGTCTCTACATTTCTCTGTGAGTCTCTGTGAGTCTCGATGGGTCTCTGTGGGTCTCTGTGCGTGTCTGTGGGTCTCTATGGGTCTCTGTGCGTCTGTGCGTCATGACGCGTCGCCAAATGTCCACGCAATCCCACGCGCGCAGCGACCCGAGATCCGACGAACTCCCCGCCGTGGAGAAGCTGCCTTCGGAGTCTCCGCCGCCGCCGGCACCGCCGCGGCCCTCCGTCCGATTCGTCGACCCCCGGCGACGGCCGCCACGCCCCCCGACCGGCCCCCCCCGGAGCAGAACGAGGGCCGGCGGACGCCGTCGGATGGTCGTGATGTGGATGGCCTACGCCACCACGATGTGCGGTCTACGCGCTCACCTGTGCCCACATCTTCTACTGGGTGGTGACCGGCAGGTGAGATGGGGGGGAGGGCGGCGGGGCTGCCGCGGAGCGGTGGCGTGGCACCGGATCGCCGTGCGGCAGCCTTCTGGCTTTGGTCTGCGGGCTTTTCGGCGATCGTGGAGATGCGGTTAGCGCGGGCGGCGACACCGCTACGTGTATCGTAACGTTTTACCGGTGGCTTCGTGGGAGATCTTCCGCGTTGGGACGAGGGTCGACGGCGCGGGCGCTGAGTTCTCTGTGCTGGGGGGGGGGGGGTGGGGGGGGCGCTGACACGGCAGGCTCAAGGAGTACAGCTTCGCGGAGGCGCGCCAGGAGACGGGGGTGGAGGACATTCCGGACGTGCGCAACGACTTTGCCTTCCTCCTGCACCTGGTGGACAAGTACGACCCCTGCTACGCGTGCAAGTTCTCTGTCTTCCTGTCCGAGGTGAGGAGAAGCCGCTCGCAGAGCGCCGCACGTTCGACGGAGCCGACCGCGCCGATCGGACAAGGACAACAAACTGTGGGTCTCTGTGTGGTGAGCGTGGTGCTGGCCACCCACCCCCTCGTGTGCCGCCCTTCTGGCCTGCATAGAGGTGCTCGCTAACGGCACTTGCCCCAACAGTCCGTCGAGGCTATACGGGGGATGTTGAGTCTTTGGGTCTCTGTCTGAGTCTATGGGCCGTGTTAGTCTATGTGCAAGTTATGTACTGACTAATTATAAGGGGGCCGTATCGGTGGTGAATGTCAAAGTCTGAGCGAGACCTCAAGCCGCATCATCTCTACATAACAAAAGGCTCAGTCCTTTTACACGCACCTTTACATCATCCGCACCTAGTTTACACAACAAAGGCTCATTCCTAACAGCGTGCTTCAGCCGCACCGAACCTCACAAAAACAATATCCAGGGCCTACCTTGGCTCCTCCCACCTTCAACCAGTATATATACAAATACTGTGTCTTGGAATTTCTCTCACCTGATACAGCTGTCGTGGCTGTGACGGTTCCACCTGAAGACGGAAGCTTGTGTTGCCTCCAAAACGTCGTGATTTTTATTTTATTTTAATTTTACTTTTATTAATTTAATTTTTTACCTACGTGACTTTACCGAAAAAACCTAAGAATATTGAGACCTCAAGCTCCGGGAACCTGCTTGAAGATTCTGGAAGGGGGCGTGGGCCACACCGGGGTGTATACAGTGATACCTCGGTTCACGAACGCTTCGGTTCACGAACAACTCGGTTCACGACCAGAAAATTTCATAAAAATATGCTTCGGTTCACGAACTCCGCTTCGGTTCACGAACAGGAGCCGCGCCCATTTTTATGCTAATTCCAGGCTGTCACATGGTCGTGATTTATTGTAACGGGAGCGAGCAATGCAAAATCAGCCGAGGGAGTACCCGCCTCCTCCTCCTCGGGGGCGCGACACGTGGTGCGCCCGCCTATTCTGCCCTTCACGCGCAGGCTACACCGCGCGCGCACGCACGCGCGGACGCACGCACGCGCGCGCACACACGCGCGCGCGGACGCACGCACGCGCACCGCCATGCACCGCGCGCACCCCGGAATGAGCGGAGAGGCACACATGCGCCAGCTGTGACAGTCATCCCTCTTCACCTAAAATAAAAAAACCCCGAGCGATGGAGAGAGGAAACCCCTGAAGGAGATCCCCCTGATGTCCTTATGGAGGGGACTCTCCCTCCAACAATAACCGCCTCCCACCCGCCTCCCACCTGCCTTCCTCCATGCCAGAGGTCATCTCAAGCAAGGTTAGTGTTCTCTCTTTATACATTACTATACTGTACAGTACTACAGTAATGTGTATTGTCATTTGTTTCATATTTTTGTGCTTCAAAAACCAAAAAAAAGGTCAGAACGGATTAACCGAATTTACATTGAACCCTATGGGAAAATGTGCCTCGGTTCACGACCAATTCGGTTCACGACCAGAGTCATTTCACGAATTAAGTTCGTGAACCGAGGTATCACTGTATAAGGGGGACCGAACCAGAGAAGGTTCGCTGCTGTTGCGGGTCTTGGGTCCTGGCTGCGTCGCCGCTCGCCGTCATCTCTCTTCGTCGTGGCCGATCTCCTGCAGGGCGCTCACCGTCGCTGTCGCTGCGCTAGTCAAATAACCGTGCAGTTGGACGCCGACGATGGGGTTGTGTAGAAGGGTAGGCTATGTGTAGCTACGTGGAGACGTTGATATTTCTGCATCGTCCAGTGTGAGAATAAATAAGAAGGCCTCTACACGATGTGTCTCGGAAGTCGCTCACTACATGCGTATAACGTCTTTACCGTCATGGGCCCTCGCTGCTGAAACAAATCAAATCCATCCGCGCTTGGCTGCTGGTGCTGTTCCTGCTGCTGCTGTTGCTGCTGCTGCTGCTGCTGCTCCAGGTGAGTGAAAATAAGCTGAGGCAGGTGAACGTGGACCAAGCGTGGACCCTGTCGCATCTGACGGGGCTGCTGGCGATCAATGCGCAGGGCGAAAGCGAGCTGCATCTCTCCAAGCTGGCAGCGGTGCCAGTGGACACATACCAGCTCACTCAGATACAGGTGCCCGTGGACACAGCCACTCACCCACCCATCCACCCACCAACTCACACAGCCACTCACCCACCTACTCACTCACCCTCATACCCACTGACCCACACACCCACTCACCCACCAGTGGACACATACCGGCTCACTCAGATACAGGTGCCCGTGGACACAGCCACTCACCCACCCATCCACCCACAACTCACACAGCCACTCACCCACCTACTCACTCACCCTCATACCCACTGACCCACACACCCACTCACCCACCAGTGGAAACATACTGGCTCACTCAGATACAGGTGCCCGTGGACACAGCCACTCACCCACCCATCCACCCACCAACTCACACAGCCACTCACCCACCTACTCACTCACCATCATACCCACTGACCCACACACCCACTCACCCACCAGTGGACACATACCGTCACTCAGATACAGGTGCCCGTGGACACAGCCACTCACCCACCCATCCACCCACCAACTCACACAGCCACTCACCCACCTACTCACTCACCCTCATACCCACTGACCCACACACCCACTTACCCACCAACTCACCCGCACACCCACTCACCCACCAATTCACCCACCCACTCACCCAGACACCCACTTACCCACCAACTCACCCGCACACCCACCCACCCACTCGCGCACACACCACTCCTCACCCTGACCACCCACTCACTCACCAACCCACCCACCACCCCCATGCACCCACCAACTCACACCCCACCACACCACCACCCCCACTGACCCACACACCCACTCCCCACCAACTCACTCACCCCACCCCCAACTCCACACCCACTCACCCACCAACTCACTCACCCACTGACCCACACACCCACTCACCCACCAACTCACTCACCCACTGACCCACACACCCACTCACCCACCAACTCACTCACCCTCATACCCACTGACCCACACACCCACTCCCCCAACTCACTCACCCACTGACCCACACACCCACTCCCACCAACTCACTCACCCTCATACCCACTGACCCACACACCCACTCACCCACCAACTCACTCACCCACTGACCCACACACCCACCAACTCACTCACCCTCATACCCACTGACCCACACACCCCTCACCCACCAACTCACTCACCACTGACCCACACACCCACTCACCCCCACTCACTCACCCACTGACCCACACACCCACTCACCCACCAACTCACTCATACCCACTGACCCACACACCCACTCACCCACCAACTCACTCACCCACTGACCCACACACCCACTCACCCACCAACTCACTCACCCTCATACCCACTGACCCACACACCCACTCACCCCAACTCACTCACCCACTGACCCACACACCCAACCCACTCACTCACCCTCATACCCACTGACCACACACCCACTCACCCACCAACTCACTCATCCACTGACCCACACACCCACTCACACCACCAACTCACTCACCCACTGACCCACACCCCACTCACCCACCAACTCACTCTCATACCACTGACCCACACACCCACTCGCCCACCAACTCACTCACCCACTGACCCACACACCCACTCACCCACCAACTCACTCACCCTCATACCCTGACCCACACACCCACTC